ACAAAGTGGGGCACTAAACTACACCCTGCACGTAGTTATTGCTCACCTGCAATTGGCTCTGATCTGGTCATATTGTCCCCGTAATTGAATAACAAATATTATCTGACCCATTCACGTGTGACTTGGCATGTCTGGCCCGTACCGGGAGGCTGTTTAATAATGGAGGTTTTATCTGGTTTGTGTGGACGTCTGTTGGGGGCCCCCAGCCGGTGTTGTGTGGGGGCCCCAGCCGGTGTTGTGTGGGGGACACAGACGGTGTTATGAGGGGCCCCAGTTGGTGTTGTGTGGGGCCCCAGTTGGTGTTGTGTGGGGGCCCCCAGCCGGTGTTGTGTGGGGGACACAGACGGTGTTATGAGGGGCCCCAGTTGGTGTTGTGTGGGGCCCCAGTTGGTGTTGTGGGGGGCCCCCAGCCGGTGTTGTGTGGGGCCCTCAGCCGGTGTTGTGTGGGGGACACAGACGGTGTTATGAGGGGCCCCAGTAGGTGTTGTGTGGGGCCCCAGTTGGTGTTGTGTGGGGCCCCAGTTGGTGTTGTGGGGGGGGGCCCCAGTTGGTGTTGTGTGGGGCCCCAGTTGGTGTTGTGGGGGGGGGGCCCAGTTGGTGTTGTGTGGGGCCCCAGTTGGTGTTGTGTGGGGCCCCAGTTGGTGTTGTGGGGGGGGGCCCCAGTTGGTGTTGTGGGGGGGGCCCCAGTTGGTGTTGGGGGCAGCGGCGACGTGGGGCCTTCCATATATTATGACACATAACTTGATCTCGCTGCCAGTGTTGGAGGACACTCCACCACCGCTGCCAGTGTTGGAGGACACTCCCACCACCGCTGGCAGTGTTGGAGGACACTCCCACCACCGCTGCCAGTGTTGGAGGACACTCCCACCACCGCTGCCAGTGTTGGAGGACACTCCCACCACCGCTGCCAGTGTTGGAGGACACTCCCACCACCGCTGCCAGTGTTGGAGGACACTCCACCACCGCTGCCAGTGTTGGAGGACACTCCACCACCGCTGCCAGTGTTGGAGGACACTCCACCACCGCTGCCAGTGTTGGAGGAAACTCCACTACCGCTGCCAGTGTTGGAGGACACTCCCACCACCGCTGCCAGTGTTGGAGGACACTCCACCACCGCTGCCAGTGTTGGAGGACACTCCACCACCGCTGCCAGTGTTGGAGGACACTCCACCACCGCTGCCAGTGTTGGAGGAAACTCCACCACCGCTGCCAGTGTTGACACCACTGGTCCATCTCATCGTGTCCATAACCCGGGAAGCCTATGGAGATATTGGGTCAGAATTGTTGCAGAGTGCGGGGCTGACGTAAGGTAACCTCGGCCCAAGCTCCCCAGTTCCACTCCCGCTGGTGAAGGGCGGGGAATACAGTGCAGCCATTGGGTACCGCCTCTATATGGGCGAGGAACCGAGATGGGCGTTGAACGAGGGAGGGAGAGGGAGGAAGGGAAGGTGAAAGATGAAGAGAGAGAGGGAGAGGGAGAAGAGGAAGGCAGCGGAGGCGGTGGAGAGAGCGCAGGATTACAGCGACGGGCGGTAGAGGGCGCAGGATTACAGCGACGGGCGGGAGAGAGCGCAGGATTACAGAGATGGACGGGAGAGAGCGCAGGATTACAGAGATGGACGGGAGAGAGCGCAGGATTACAGAGACAGGCGGGAGAGGGCGCAGGATTACAGAGATGGACGGGAGAGAGCGCAGGATTACAGAGATGGACGGGAGAGAGCGCAGGATTAGAGACAGGCGGGAGAGGGCGCAGGATTTCAGCGACGGGCGGGAGGGCCCACGACCTCGGACATTGTGACGGGCCCCGGGAGCCGTCTAGCATGAATGGAGCACATTAAGCCACTCAGAGACAAGTGAATGACGAGCCGCGTGACTGGACCAGGTGTGGGGGTGTTGTGGGGCCCCTGAGGGGTGGCAGCCCTGGGTGGAGGGTGTTGTGGGGGGCCCTGAGGGGTGGCAGCCCTGGGTGGAGGGTGTTGTGGGGCCCCTGAGGGGTGGCAGCCCTGGGTGGAGGGTGTTGTAGGGGGCCCTGAGGGGTGGCAGCCCTGGGTGGAGGGTGTTGTGGGGCCCCTGAGGGGTGGCAGCCCTGGGTGGAGGGTGTTGTGGGGGGCCCTGAGGGGTGGCAGCCCTGGGTGGAGGGTGTTGTAGGGGGCCCTGAGGGGTGGCAGCCCTGGGTGGAGGGTGTTGTGGGGCCCCTGAGGGGTGGCAGCCCTGGGTGGAGGGTGTTGTGGGGGCCCTGAGGGGTGGCAGCCGTGGGTGGAGGGTGTTGTGGGGCCCCTGAGGGGTGGCAGCCGTGGGTGGAGGGTGTTGTGGGGCCCTGAGGGGTGGCAGCCCTGGGTGGAGGGTGTTGTGGGGGCCCTGAGGGGTGGCAGCCGTGGGTGGAGGGTGTTGTGGGAAACTTACCATTCATTTTATCTCAAAATTAATCCAATAATTCCCCTATTCTCCTTTCTCTTCCAATAATTCTCCTTTCATTCTTACTATTTCTCTGTCTTCCTGACCCATTAAGGTGTGTGGTGGTGATGGGGAGTGAAGGGGTCCCCTCCCCCCACTCCCCAATCCATCATGCCATTGTAGGGGGAAGCTACACTGTAATGTGTCTGCTTCTCCCTTCCATATTACCCTTGCAGCTCCCCCATAGAACATTCCCATGCAGCATTCCATTGCATCTTCCCCTCAGGAAAAACTTTCACAAACAGCTCCATATCCGAGAACACAATAGCTAAAACACGGAACCTTTATGCTACTGCCGACAACTTGGCCGGGTGACAGGCCAACCCCAGCCAGGTGGGTTACGTCGACGCTCAAACAAAATTATTTAGCAAATAATTGAAAAATAATTATCATATATAATTATATTTAGAACATTTACATCTCCCTTATCATCTGCCTCCTCCTGCCCTACTTCCATTCTAATGATACTCGTGCCCCTCGCCATATATTATATATATACCTAGATATAAATGATAAGAAATGTAAACCTTGGCATTGCAACATGTCTACTCATTTCTCTCTCTCCCCATCTTTGTCTCTAGAGAAAGGACTGCACGGTGGTAGAGCCTGGACCTGTTCAATACTCGTGGGAGGCAGGTGTGTACGGAGGGTGGAATGGTACTCAGATTGATGAGTTGACCTGTGCGGCTGAGTGAGCGAGTGACAATATCAAAATTGATGTCATGAAAATTTCTTTGCTACAAACACTGATTAGAATTGTTTAATTTTTTAGAGTTCTGTGCTTAATATTTTATGATGTAGCAAGAATTTTGTCAGAAGGTCGAGGAAGTGGTGCGAGAATCATCATTGGACTGACCTCTGACCCTGCCGTATTGGGCATAGCAGTCACCATGCAACATTGACTGGTTGCAACCTGCTCTCGCACAAGACAGCACATATATGACTTATTGTTTATAGTCACTATTTCGCCTTATAAATAAGTACATATGTGACATATTCCAAGCCATATTTTTTTCAAGGCACAAACTTTTTCTCTCAGTTTTATTAAACAATAGAGATTTTATACAAAATTTGACAATATCCTGAGTTAATTTACAATTTATTTCAATATTTTAGTTTCGTTTTATTATTTGTATAAAACTGTAATATTAATATAGGTATAGGTTCAGTAGTAATTGTAATATCTTAACATGCTAAGAAGGTTAGGTTAGGTTGTGGTTTTCTATTCAGCTTTTCAAGGTAAACTCAAATATTCACAATAAATTAGTATGTCACATATGCATTTATTCATAAGCAAGATATTGATTATAAGCAAGTGCGAGAACGGGTTGGTGAGGGTAGTCCCAAGCCTCTAGCCTCCAACCTCAGGCAGAACAAATAAACATTCCATAATATATATCCTAGATAGGGCGCATGGCGATGCTCAGGTCGACCTGACCTGCCTCTGTCTCACTGTCTCAGTCTCTGTCTCTGGTCTTTCTTTCTCAGTTTCTATATGTCTGTCTCTCTGTTTTCCTCTGCCTCTCTCTGTTTATCTGTTTCATTCTGCCTCTTGTTGTCATTATACTAAAACGAAATGGAAAACAAAAAATATGAACAAATCAAAAGAAATGAAAAAAAGAAATGACATTGTAATATTGATCGTGGGGGTCCCACTGGCACCATGTTTAGTGGCTCTCATTTCATTAATGCCAAACCTGGCCCGCCCATGTTGAACACATACCAAACACATATTTAAAAAAACTAATTGTATCATGTTTTGGCCGCAATTGTCTGTAATATGTGTTATGACATCAACACAGGTCCCCCCCCCCCCCAGCCACCACAACCACCACCCCTCCTCCCAGCCACCACAACCACCACCCCCCAGCCACCACAACCACCACCCCTCCTCCCAGCCACCACCCCCCAGCCACCACAACCACCCCCCTCCCCCCAGCCACCACAACCACCCCCCTCCCCCCAGCCACCACAACCACCACCCCCCAGCCACCACAACCACCACCCCCCAGCCACCACAACCACCACCCCCCAGCCACCACAACCACCACCCCCCAGCCACCACAACCACCACCCCCCAGCCACCACAACGTGACACTTCCAGCGGTCTACTGAGCACCATCTTTCCACACGCACCCTACTGTGCACCCTACTGTGTACCCTACTGTGTACTCTGTGTACCCTACTGTGTACCCTACTGTGTACTCTGTGTACCCTACTGTGTACTCTGTGTACCCTACTGTGTACTCTGTGTACCCTACCCTACCCTTCCCTACTGTGTCGTGTGGCCAGCCTGCCACTCTGGCCTACACCATGGTACCAAGAGAGAGACAAAGATATAGTAGATATATAGATAGATATATAGTAGGTCACTGATACGTTTCCTTATCTAATATGTGTGTGTATTTACTATATATTATTATATATATATATATATATATATATATATATATATATATATATATATATATATATATATATATATATATATATATATCCTTTTGTTTTCCTGCAGGATTGAGCTGTTAGATGGCGGTCTTTCTGACCTTCCTGGCGGTCTTTCTGACCTTCCTGGCGGTCTTTCTGACCTTCTTGGCGGTCTTTCTGAACTTCCTGGCGGTCTTTCTGACCTTCCTGGCGGTCTTTCTGACCTTCCTGGCGGTCTTTCTGAACTTCTTGGCGGTCTTTCTGACCTTCCTGGCGGTCTTTCTGACCTTCTTGGCGGTCTTTCTGACCTTCTTGGCGGTCTTTCTGACCTTCCTGGCGGTCTTTCTGACCTTCCTGGCGGTCTTTCTGACCTTCTTGGCGGTCTTTCTGAACTTCCTGGCGGTCTTTCTGACCTTCTTGGCGGTCTTTCTGACCTTCCTGGCGGTCTTTCTGACCTTCTTGGCGGTCTTTCTGACCTTCATGGCGGTCTTTCTGACCTTCCTGGCGGTCTTTCTGACCTTCTTGGCGGTCTTTCTGACCTTCCTGGCGGTCTTTCTGAACTTCCTGGCGGTCTTTCTGACCTTCTTGGCGGTCTTTCTGACCTTCCTGGCGGTCTTTCTGACCTTCCTGGCGGTCTTTCTGACCTTCTTGGCGGTCTTTCTGAACTTCCTGGCGGTCTTTCTGACCTTCCTGCCGGTCTTTCTGACCTTCTTGGCGGTCTTTCTGACCTTCCTGGCGGTCTTTCTGACCTTCCTGGCGGTCTTTCTGAACTTCCTGGCGGTCTTTCTGAACTTCCTGGCGGTCTTTCTGACCTTGGCGGTCTTTCTGACCTTCCTGGCGGTCTTTCTGAACTTCCTGGCGGTCTTTCTGAACTTCTTGGCGGTCTTTCTGAACTTCTTGGCGGTCTTTCTGAACTTCCTGGCGGTCTTTCTGAACTTCTTGGCGGTCTTTCTGAACTTCTTGGCGGCCTTTTTGAACTTCTTGGCGGTCTTTCTGAACTTCCTGGCGGTCTTTCTGAACTTCTTGGCGGTCTTTCTGAACTTCCTGGCGGTCTTTCTGACCTTCCTGGCGGTCTTTCTGACCTTCCTGGCGGTCTTTCTGAACTTCTTGGCGGTCTTTCTGAACTTCTTGGCGGTCTTTCTGAACTTCCTGGCGGTCTTTCTGATCTTCTTGGCGGTCTTTCTGAACTTTTTGGCGGTTTTTCTGAACTTCTTGGCGGTCTTTCTGAACATCCTGGCGGTCTTTCTGAACTTCTTGGCGGTCTTTCTGAACTTCTTGGCGGTCTTTCTGAACTTCGTGGCGGTCTTTCTGAACTTCTTGGCGGTCTTTCTGAACTTCGTGGCGGTCTTTCTGAACTTCCTGGCGGCCTTTCTGACCTTCGGCTGTCTATACTGGTTCCTGACACATTATACCTCTATCATATCTACAATATATATTTCACACACACACACCAGCACCACTGTGTGCCACTAGAGTAGTCCCAGAACTAAGAGGCATGAGTTACGAGGAAAGGCTGCGTGAGATGCACCTTACGACACTGGAAGACAGAAGAGTAAGGAGAGACATGATCACAACCTACAAAATACTCAGGGGAATCGACCGGGTAGACAAGGATAAACTATTCAACACTGGTGGGACGCGAACAAGGGGATACAGGTGGAAACTGAGTACCCACATGAGCCACAGGGACGTTAGAAAGAACTTTTTCAGTGTCAGAGTAGTTAACAGGTGGAATGCATTAGGCAGTGATGTGGTGGAGGCTGACTCCATACACAGTTTCAAATGTAGATATGATAGAGCCCAGTAGGCTCAAGAATCTGTACATTAGTTGATTGACAGTTGAGAGGTGGGACCAAAGAGCCAAAGCTCAACCCCTGCAAGCACAAATAGGTGAGTACAAATAGGTGAGTACACACACACACACACAGAAGGGACTTCGTGACAAATCGCCAACATGGATTCAGGGAGGGTAAATCTTGCCTTACAGGCTTAATAGAATTCTACGACCAGGTGACAAAGATTAAGCAAGAAAGAGAGGGCTGGGCGGACTGCATTTTCTTGGATTGTCGGAAAGCATTTGACACAGTACCGCATAAGAGGCTGGTACATAAGCTGGAGAGACAGGCAGGTGTAGCTGGTAAGGTGCTCCAGTGGATAAGGGAGTACCTAAGCAATAGGAAGCAGAGAGTTACGTTGAGGGGTGAGTCCTCAGATTGGCGTGAAGTCACCAGTGGAGTCCCACAGGGCTCTCTACTCGGACCTATCCTGTTTCTGATATATGTAAATGATCTCCCGGAGGGTATAGACTCATTTCTCTCAATGTTTGCGGACGACGCCGAAATTACGAGAAGGATTAAGGCAGAGGAGGAATGCTTGAGGCCTCAAGAAGTCCTATACAAGCTGAAGGAATCGTCGAACAAATGGTTGTTAGAGTTTAACCCGAGCAAATGTAATGTAATGAAGATAGGTGTAGGGAGCAGGAGGCCAGTTACAAGGTATCATTTGGGAGATGAAATACTTCAGGATTCAGAGAGAGAGAAAGACTTGGGGGTTGATATTACGCTAGACCTGTTCCTTGAAGCCCATATCAAGAGAATAACATCAGCGGCATATGCCAGGTTGGCCAACATAAGAACGGCATTCAGAAACTTGTGTAAGGAATCAATCAGAACTTTGTATACCACATATGTCAGACCAATCCTGGAGTATGCAGCCCCAGCAAGGAGTCAAGGATAAGACTAAACTGGAAAAGGTTCAAAGGTTTGCCACCAGACTAGTACCCGAGCTGAGAGGTATGAGCTACGAGGAGAGACTACGGGAATTAAACCTCACTTCGCTGGAAGACAGAAGACTTAGGGAGGACATGATCACCACATTCAAGATTCGCAAGGGAATTGATAGGGTAGATAAAGACATGCTATTTAACACAAGGGGCACACGCACTAGGGGGACACAGGTGGAAACTGAGTGCCCAAACGAGCCACAGAGATATTAGAAAGAACTTTTTTAGTGTCAGAGTGGTTGACAAATGGAATGCATTAGGCAGTGATGTGGTGGAGGCTGACTCCATACACAGTTTCAAGTGTAGATATCAGGGAGCCGGTGGCTGAGCGGACATAACACTGGACGCGTGATCCTTTGGTCCCGGGTTCGTTCCTGGGCGCCGGTGAGAAACAATGGGCAGAGTTTACCTGGTTGACCTGGTTGATGGGGTTCTGGGAGTTCTTCTACTTCCCAAGCCCGGCCCGAGGCCAGGCTCGACTTGTGAGAGTTTGGTCCACCAGGCTGTTGCTTGGAGCGGCCCGCAGGGCCACGTACTCACCACAGCCCGGCTGATCCGGAACTTCTCTTAGAAAACCGTCCAGTTTTCTCTTGAAGATGTCCACGGTTGTTCCGGCAATATTTCTTATGCTCGCTGGGAGGACGTTGAACAACCGCGGACCCTGATGTTTATACAGTGCTCTCTGATTGTGCCTATGGCACCTCTGCTCTTCACAGGTTCAATCTTGCATTTTCTTCCATATTGTTCACTCCAGTTCGTTGTTATTTTACTGTGTAGATTTGGGACCTGACCCTCCAGTATTTTCTATGTGTATATTATTTGGTATCTCTCTCGTCTCCTTTCTAGAGAGTACATTTGGAGAGCTTTGAGACGATCCCAATAATTTAGGTGCTTTATCTCGTCTATGCGTGCCGTATATGTTCTCTGTATTCCCTCTATTTCAGCAATCTCTCCTGCTCTGAAGGGGAAGTGAGTACTGAGCAGTACTCAAGACGGGACAGCACAAGTGACTTGAAGAGTACAACCATTGTGATGGGATCCCTGGATTTGAAAGTTCTCGTAATCCATCCGATCATTTTTCTGGCTGACGCGATATTTGCTTGGTTATGCTCCCTAAACGTTAGATCGTCGGACATCATTATTCCCAAATCCTTGACATGCTGTTTTTCTACTATGGGAAGATTCGATTGTGTTTTGTACCCTGTATTATGTTTCAGATCCTCATTTTTGCCGTACCTGAGTACCTGAAATTTATCACTGTTAAACATCATGTTATTTTCTGCTGCCCAATCAAAAACTTTGTTGACATCTGCTTGTAGTTTTTCAATGTCTTCAGCAGAGGTAATTTTCATGCTGATTTTTGTGTCATCTGCAAAGGACGACACGAAGCTGTGGCGTGTATTTTTGTCTATATTAGATATGAGAATAAGGAACAGTAGCGGTGCAAGGACTGTACCTTGAGGTACAGAGCTTTTAACATCGCTTGGACTCGATTTTATCTGACTGTTACTCTTTGTGTTCTGTTCGACAGGAAATTGAGTATCCAGCGTCCTACTTTTCCAGTTATTCCCATTGACCTCATTTTGTGAGCTATCACCCCATGGTCACATTTGTCCAGTTTCTTTCACCCTGATGCACCTGTTACCTAGTAGTAAATAGGCACCTGGGTGTTATTCACGGGCTGCTTCCTGGGGGTGGAGGCCTGGTCGTGGACCGGGCCGCGGGGACACTAAGCCACGAAATAATCTCAAGATAACCTCAAGATAGATATGATAGAGCCCAGTAGGCTCAGGAACCTGTACACCAGTTGATTGACGGTTGAGAGGCGGGACCAAAGAGCCAGAGCTCAACCCCCGCAAGCACAAATAGGTGAGTACAATTAGGTGAGTACACACACACACACACATGTGGGCCTCGCGGCTGAGTGGACAACGCTCTGGGTCGTAGTCCTAAGGGCTGGGGTTCGATCCCCGGCAGAGGCAGAAACAAATGGGTAGAGTTTCTTTCATCCTGATGCGCCTGTTCACCTAGCAGTAAATAGGTACCTGAGAGTTAGACAGCTGCTATGGGCTGCTTCCTGTACTCACCTAGTTGTACTCACCTAGTTGTGTTTGCGGGGGTTGAGCTCTGGCTCTTTGGTCCCGCCTCTCAACCGTCAATCAACAGGTAATGGGTGTGTGTGTGTGTGTGTGTGTGTGTGTGTGTGTGTGTGTGTGTGTGTGTGTGTGTGTGTGTGTGTGTGTGTGAGAGAAATATATGTAGTAGACATAATAAGGGAAAAAATTAATTGGTTAGAAAGACGAGGAATATATTTTATATATATATATATATATATATATATATATATATATATATATATATATATATATATATATATATATATATATATATATATATATGTCGTACCTAATAGCCAGAACACACTACTCAGCCTACTATTCGAGGCCCGATTTGCCTAATAAGCCAAGTTTTCATGAATTAATGTTTTTTCGTCTACCTAACCTACCTAACCTAACCTAACCTAGCTTTTTTTGGCTACCTAACCTAACCTTACCTATAAATATAGGTTAGGTTAGGTTAGGTAGGGTTGGTTAGGTTCGGTCATATATCTACGTAATTTTAACTCCAATAAAAAAAAATTGACCTCATACATAGAGAAAAGGGTTGCTTTATCATTTCATAAGAAAAAAATTATAGTAAATATATTAATTCAGGAAAACTTGGCTTATTAGGCAAATCGGGCCTTGAATAGTAGGCTGAGAAGTGAGTTCTGGCTACTAGGTACGACATATATATATATATATATATATATATATATATATGTCGTACCTAATAGCCAGAACGCACTTCTCAGTCTACTATTCAAGGCCCGATTTGCCTAATAAGCCAAGTTTTCATGAATTAATGTTTTTTCGTCTACCTAACCTACCTAACCTAACCTAACCTAGCTTTTTTTGGCTACCTAACCTAACCTTACCTATAAATATAGGTTAGGTTAGGTTAGGTAGGGTTGGTTAGGTTCGGTCATATATCTACGTTAATTTTAACTCCAATAAAAAAAAATTGACCTCATACATAGAGAAAAGGGTTGCTTTATCAATTCATAAGAAAAAATTATAGTAAATATATTAATTCAGGAAAACTTGGCTTATTAGGCAAATGGGGCCTTGAATAGTAGGCTGAGAAGTGAGTTCTGGCTACTAGGTACGACATATATATATATATATATATATATATATATATATATATATATATATATATATATATATATATAGGCATGTATTATGATGGTGTATAAAATAAGGATGAAGAGCATTACAGTCCGCCGTGACCGACTTCCCGAGTACCATCAAACATGCTCGTTAAGTTTATGCATAATTGAGGGTTTAATGAGTTTGGGTTGGGAGGCGGTCCCTGGGGGGGGGGGGGTCTGGGGGGGGGATGTCTTGAGAGGGGGGGGGGTGGAGACCTGGGGTCGGGTAGGGGGGATGAAGCCCCCCCCCCTGCTAGGCTCCTCTCAGCACCCAGGCGCCAGTTCTTCAACTGTTTCTTTACAGTAATAAACCAGGTGGCCGCCGCTTGAACATTCATCAGCGGGACAAAA